TATTGAAACAAAATTTTAGATCTTAAAATGAATATTAATTACAGTTGATTATTAAAGAAATAAGTATTACATTTGTTTTGGCATAGCGATTGTATTAATATTTGAAATTAAGTATCCATTTATCACTAGGAGTATATAAAAGCTACCACACGATGGAAACTACTGATCACGTCTGATGAATTCTTATTTCTTCGTAAGGAGGTTGCCTTTACAAGTGGCACTTCAAAAGGTCAGGGTAGCTCAAACTACACAGTAACACACAGTAATTAAAGGTTATTTTTGGCGATAACCATCAGTAAAACATTAACCTACGTGCGCGAAATAAAAAACTCGATGATTCCACGTCAACAAGTCTTGGCATGAAGGACTAAGAATGAAAAAAGTCTACGCACTTAAGAACATATTTAATATGCTGTTGAAAAATTTGATGTGGAATGTATACAATTCACTAACGTGTTTATTAGTTTATATATTTCTACGCTTAAAATATCAAGCACCTTAACGTTTTCCTTTTGACATATTTGAAAATTCTTGAATTTGAACTTCAAGGAAGTTAAAGTCACGGATGTTACGAACAAAGTTATTTTTTATTATATGAAACACGGACATCTCCGTTATTTATTTATGAAAACAATAATAAACAGTAGTTGATTGATGGAAAGGTAAATGAGTTTTACTAACAAGCATTCTCTCCTTGAGACCGAACGTTAGCTTCAAGTGCTTCCTCGACTACACTTTAACCGAAAGTATAAGTTCAATAATACTTTTTATTTTTCTATAAATTTTAATGAAAGAAAGTTAATAAAACTCCCTTAATTATTATTAATGATTCCTCATTAAGTAAATGTTAATCTTTGAAAGATTTTTATTATAAAAGAATTCATCAAATTAGGAAATGAAATGAAGTCATATAATTATAATAAGTAAATCATCAAATCTCAACATAATAAATTGATTCCAAAAGCAGGACAAAATGAACGAAAATGAACTAGTTCTCATATTTTCTGTGAAATGGTAATGAAGACAAAATAAAATATTTACTTATTTATGGTGTAATACAATTTCCATAACATAATGGTTTCACGGTAACCAAAAACAGTTTTTTGTTATGAGTTTTAATAATGAATTCAAGAAATACTTAAAATTATTAAACGTTCCTGTACATTTCTGTATAATTATATTCGGTACAAATTACACATATTGGGTCCTTACATATGAAATTGACGTAATCCAAATGTCTGACAAATGAGCCTTGAAAAATTAAAATGACGCATTATTTATGAACACCGAAAAAGTAACCCCAATGCTGCGGCATAGTTCGATAGTTACTGTAAAAGAAAACACGGTACGTTTTTGTTTCCGTTGTGGAAATTTGACCTAGAGTACAAACTCCGTGGACGGCCGGAGACCCTAGTTGACAACGAAGAAAAAGGTGATCGAGGAACGAAACCACTTCATAGTTAGATAGGCTTCGGTGTGATGTGAACACAACAGTTTGATTCACTTGAAACAAATTGGAAATGTAAAAAAGCTTGGAAAATAACATAGACATAAACATGAGTGAAGCAAACCAACGATCTCGCATTGGGTGTTGCTTTACATTAGTCAACTTTCACAATGACGAAGGAATTTTGAATCGTATTATCACTTGTGATGAAAACTAGATCAGTCACAGTGGTGGAACTCAGGTGAACCGGCTAAATCTTTAGAAAAGACTTCGCCACAGAAAAAGTTACTGGTGAGCATTTGTTGGACGAGTGCTGATATCATACACTACAGCATCTTAAGACTTGGCCAGACAATGACGACGAGATCTGCTGTCAACAATTGCAAACTATGATGGAAAGGCTCGCTATTCAATAACCGCTCCCACAATTTTTTGAGGAATAGAATAAATGAAATACCTATAAACTGGCAGAGATATTAATGGTATACTTTGATTGATAAAACGTATAATTTCAAATATTTTTTTGTTTTACGGTTTCCATATAAAACTCCAATTTCATATGTGACGGTGTTACGGGGCCTAATATTTATATTATTTATCCTACGTATATTGAAGCCTCATTAATATAGTGGTATATATGGCCACGATCCTCATTAATGAGGGAACGACAAAGAAGACAAACTTTACAAGATAATATAAAGATAACAATAATTATTAAGATAACAATAAAATATAAAGATAATAACAGATACAGTATTACTGTAGATGGAATACGGCAGATGGTTGACAGAAGCTACACAAATTCACATTATCTTTGCATTTTTTGACTTTTGACTTTTTTCATTCCTTACAGACTGTAGAATGTGGCAAGATTTCAAACCTGTAACGCATGCTCATTTCAGTCAACGCAAATTAAAAAAGTGATTTTTAAATTGTAGAGATAAAACACAGTGATGATTATCCACGAGAAGGAAGATATTGTAAGACAGTACTTTTATAAAATTCTAGAGCCGATTTTATGACCACAAGTCCGAGCGATGCATAAAATATTCACACTTATAAAAATTCACCGTTGTTACCTAAATTATCACAAATTTCATCATTAATATTCAATGCAAATGCCTCGACTGGATTCTTCGCCTCATTATCTCGACCAGACTCTATGGCGTCGAATTAATGTTTCTTAAAAACGTGCTACCATTGAATGTATTAATATCTTATATTTTCTAACTGCGAAATAATATGGGCACGTGCGTAACGATTTCTTATAATTAACGATTAGACAAACTATATGTATCATTCATGCATACATGTAAATAATATTGCAAGCTTATTAACATAGGTACATAATGAATAAATGCGAAAATCTTATTAAATGTACTTTATTATTTAAAGCGTTAGTTAGTAGTAGCCATACAGGTGAGGCCTGTTTAATGTTTTACAGAAACAATTAATGTATACGTAAAAACATTAGCGTGTTCTATTGAGTTTGAACCTACTGGCTCATGTCTGAACTTCACGTATTCGTTTAATGAGCAATAATACAATTACTAAATATAAAATGAGCACTTTTTAATACCTTTCTAGTTCTATAATAATATCTTTAGGACTTCAAGATTCTTTATTTTCCCCAATATCACGGATCAAAGCGACAAAATACTTAAAACTTAGTCAAATTAATTTCTGTATAATATGTAAGCGCAAAACATAGTTCATATTTTTATTAAGTATTAATATGTCCAATAAATTACAATCATGCTTAGTATTCATATTAACGTAAGTGTCAAAATATGCAAAAAAATTAAGAAACCTCCTTCTTTTTCATGTATTACAATAATTAAATAATAATTCAAAAAAATATTGTTTTGCTATTAACTCCTTATTGATATTATTTACAATTGTACAAATAATTTTAACTTTAGTAATAGTCTGCTTGGCCTAATTTTGTGTTCCTACATATTTTGCAACAATTTTTGTAATAAAAAAATCAAAATTCTTGTTTTTTAGCGATTGGACCAGTTTCAATCGTCTGTTTTATCGTTTAAATTTACAAATACATTATGCTAATTTATGCCATTCCTTTTTTTATGTTATCATCGATTCTAATCTTACGCAAAATGTATGAATCATAATAGATTTAATGATCACAATGAAAATAAACGTATACTCTAGAGGTGACATAATTGACCTGAAATACTTTTTTTTGCATTTAGTGTTTTCCGTTTCTTTTTCATTCTGAATATTACTACATTATGGTACCTGTAATATGTATCTAACAAGTTTCAGAATTGTATTATAGAATATGTATCTAACAAGTTTCACATATTCGATAACAGTTTTTTGCCTGTGGACACGGTAGACATTCACGCGGTCAGGGTAGGGGACATATGTACTTCGGACCCACCCGGGGGCAGCACTATGTGTGCTAACACACATAATGAATTAGTTCGTCCTCGCCTACGAGTACGGCGAAACCAACTCAATGCATAAACGTGATATGCCCGCGTTCCAGGGCCATTCCGCCATGAAAGGCCATTGGGGTGACGGTCTGCACTATATTTCGATGTCCCTCAGGTGACGTGCCCTTCCCCTAGATAACGCACCCATGAGAAGGATCTAGCTAATATGAAACTTTAATATTCTAAGGATTGAAAGCAAAAACAGCAGTTAAAGTAAAAAGTAAGAAATATCTATTGAACTTGTAGCTTTCGAATTTACCATCATTGATTATTATTGTTTCAGTACTCGGGTTCCTTCTGAGCCGAAAAGAATTCTCTTTCGAAAATTTATCTGTTATTCTCACATTTAAATTCATTTTCATGTTATCATTTCTGTATAGCTCTGTTGATATAGGGGAAACTATTTTACATTGATACCATAATAACATGTTTATTCTTTCCTTATAATTAAACGTTAATTATGCGTTTATTATTAGTATTTTTTTTAAAGAAGCCAAGGCAATGAGACGTACAAATACAAACGAATATAAGTCAAATGAGTATAAGACTGATTGTGTTATTTGAGTGTGAGTTGTGAATAATTAAAGTTGATTTAAGTCGCGCTACTACGTCATCATTGTTGTAACGGATTTAACTGATCGAAGCCATTCTACAGGTTAGAAGGCCAATGTTTAAACTCCCAGTTACATGATCTATATGTGGTGGTGGTCATTATTTATTCACTAAGCAACCACTTGAAACGCCATCTATGTAATGTGTGGTACAAGACAACCATTGGTTTTTGGAAGACGTAGCAAAATGTTTTGCGTCGAACACCGAACTAACAACAGATGGCGGTAGTAAAATGTTTTACTACCGGAAAAAATATTTATGTTGTAGATGTTTCATAACATTAGAATAATGATAAACACATTAAAGTTGGAATCTTTATTTTTATTTTTATTAAGTACTTCGCCACATACAATTTTTCACTGTTTGATTTCAATTATAAGTTCAAAACTCGTTAAAATAAAAGACACTGAATAAGAACATTCATAATATGTATACAAACGGAAAATTTTTATATGTAAAATATGGTTTAGCTATTCTTACTACAAACATTCAATAAAAACTGGGTAACAATTTTCTAATTCATCGTCCAATACAGCTCTCGCTATTGGTGCGTGTGAGTTCCTCAATTTAATTACTGTTTTATTATTAAAAATTATCTCATTAAAGGTATCCAAGATAACATTGTTATATGGATGTGTGATCAGTTTATCAAGCATCTCCAGTTGCTTCGCATGACCGCTGATGAAGCCTAATTTCCTGCAAATTGCTTCCAAATCTGATTTTGTGTGGTTCGGCGAGTCGTAACATTTAGTGTACCATACCCCGTGAGAACGAACTATGACCTTCCCTGTACCATACCTGAAAAGTTTTTCAAAGGAATTTAAATCCATCACTAACATGCAGGTGAATGACCAGACTGAAGTAATAAAAATTTATTCTGATGTTCGTGGATGTATAATTCGTGGTTTAAGCGATCAGACTTTATTTAACTCTAATTTCTTTTGTTTAACTCTCTCTCTAGCTCTAATTTCCCTAGGTGAGTCTAAGTGTTGTAGTGTGATTTGGGAATTATAAATCTTATTTTTTATTTAAATTTTAGTTTAGTGTAGAAATTATTTTTTAGCTAATTAGTTTGATACTCACGGGGTGCCTTGCGGAGCACTTAACGCGATGCACGTCTTTTCGTCTTCGCCATTCGGACAGTCATGAATACCGTCACAAACCATATCAAAAGCCACGCAACTACCTTCTTGTTGAGAATTTCCCGTACACCTGGTTTTCATTTTAAATTTAAACACAATATTCTAACAGACGTTAAGATTTTCGTCGGTGTGGCAATCAGCCGTTTAGCTTAGTGACTAAAGCGTGAGGCCGCGAAGACGTGGGTTCGATTCTCACAGCGCGACAATCTTTTCATACTTTTTCTACATAGTTATTTTCAATTACCAATTGAATTTACCTATAACTATGTTTCGCAAAGCATTTGCAGAACTTTGGATCTTCATCACTCCTATCATGGCAATGAAGTACTCCGTCGCAAAGTCTGGAAGGCATGACACGGCCGAGATAATCGGAACACGTTGTTTCGCCGGGCTCATCAGTACCATCCCCGCAATCATTTTGACCATTTCTGAATAATTCTTTCGGGATACATCGACCGTTCCGGCACTTAAGTTGGTCAACTGTACAGTCTGAAAAAGTTTAACGTTGTATACTAAAATAACGTTGTATTTTTTTTCATGCATTAAGTCGTTATTATACTTTTCATTTACAATATATTCCTTTTTTTTAGATGTTAAATTTGGAAAATCATCGTGTCGTCCACGTTTGTGTAGTCTATTAATTTCGTACACCAAAAAAATAATAATTGTGGGTCTATTACACTTAAAGACATTACATGTATAAATGAACGTTACCACATCCAGTACGGTGAGAATCCCTTAAACAAATACTGTTCTTTTTTTCACATGCTTCTAGAGATTCGTCCTTTCCATCCTCACAATGTCTTATTCCATCACAAGTTTTGCTTAATTTTATGCAACGTCCGCGTCCGCATCTCTGCCCGTCACATTGGTCGGTCACATTCGAAAACGATCCCAGCTCAGTGTTGTCTATAAAAATAATATCACGTAGATTATTAAAACCGATTTACGTGACTATATAATTAAGAAATCCTAAGTATACCTTTTAAGATTCTTATTTCATTTTTTATGTTTCCAATATCAGTTGCAATAATTTCTTTACTTGTGCCACATTCTCCCCTACTATCAACAAATGATGCGGCAGGATACCAACCGTGCTTTGTATGACAACTAATTATACCCGCCCATGGGCGTTGTGTATCTTTGTCAGGCTAGAGAGAGAAATTGCATTGAAATTATTTTATAGTTGCACCTTTTCTACTATTCATTTAATAAATTTTAATTTTCAATGCTTTGATAGGCGAAGCAAAATATCATTATTGCGCATATTAATAAATTTTACTTAAAATGTAACTTTTCACTTATACGTTTTTTTTTAAGCAACAATTGAGCGTAATGGGTTTAAAAATTTGAATTTACATGGCAAACTGGTGCACTGGATTGTCTTACAAAACATCTATTGTTAGAGGAACAGTTTTGAGTGGTTTCGTGTAACACTACGCTTATAGTACGGTTATCACTGTCTTCACCAATTGCAACGCAAACCGTCTCGGTATCTTCAGGAATATATCTGAAAGGTGAATGTTAATGAAACGTTTTATTTAAAAATTGATAGTTCACAACATAAAATATTACTTACGAATTCGTAACAGTCATTGGTTTCACCATATTAGTATATGAGGCTTGTCCTTTTAAATGTAAAATTGTGACTTTACTACGGTATAAATCATTCTTTGCATCCACTTGAAATATTTGTTCGTATGGACCTTTTATTGATGGCAATGTTTTGTACGAACCGAGCACGACAGTTAAATAATGGTGGCTGAAACTTTTGTGACTTAATTAAAAATAAAAGTAAAGAATTCTGTAGGTATATCATGTGTCACATCATGATACAAATGATATAAAATAAGGAAAACTTTATACATTTGGCAATTTAAATATGAAACTAAGATTTCTTTGAAGTTTTGAAGTTGAATTTTTATCATTTGATACATTACATTACAGCTTTTAAAAGGATAAATCCTTATTCTCGTACTCGAATTAATTGATGAGGCACATAATTCAATAAGTGAAATCATCAATAGACATGTATCATATTTATCCATAAAGATTAAATACATAACACAACGTGGCGCAACGTGGCGTTCAATAGCGACGTTAATTGGAACTACTTCTAGATAGGTAAGGTGAGAGTGCTGTGTTGATTAAAACACCAAGCATTTACATGTTCGATTTTTCTATAAATCGTCCACAGTTGTCCTTGGAGGCCTTTACAGATCCACCACGCTGAAGGTAGCCGAGCGCTGAGGGCGCCTAGCCTGTATCTCGTTTATGGGTGACTTAGCTCGGACTTCAGCTCGATCGACTGTTATCTGACTAGATGGATAGGATTTCTAAAGCTATCATTACTTACATCGGAAAGCGTTGGTCTGGGAGAAGTGGCCTATTATAAAGTCACCTTATTTCGAAGAGACATTTTTGAGGTTTTATTTATTAGAGGATGTAGGCAGTCTAGTACGAAGGCCGCCCGATTCATAACAGAGATTCACGTGCTGAATGAAGTTGAGCTTAGAGTCAAGGACGACACCTAAGTGTTTGACTTTATTGACCCATGGTACCGGACAACCGCTAAATTCCTGCTTAGTTTAACTGTTGGGACGGCCACAGGGGTTTTGCTTTTAATTGTAACAATTTTTACACGTTTTCAGTATGTCATCGTGCATGGTAGAATTTTCTTTAAAAGCACCCGCTGGTGTACTGCCATCTATCATGCAAATACCTAACAGTTTTCTAAAGCCAGTTCACTAAAGTCATTCGCGTTGTCATTTAACGTATCTACAGTAGTAGCGCTTTAAAGGATATTTAACTTGGTAAATGCAATGGTGATTTTTAAATCATTACCGACTAGCGTAAACGTTAAAGAAAACAAATGATGTTGGAAATCTAAACTTCAGTGCCTACAGGTCAACGGGGATCAGTAGATAATTTAAAATGTGATTTTTAGTTGAATAATAATGGAAGTTAATTATTAACAAAAAGTTCACGTTTTGCGTTTCATCTTGAGTGTAAAAATTAAAACACTTCAATCATACATTTCTGTAGATAACCTTATAAAGAGTGCTTCCTTGAACTTTTTATTACATTCGACTTATTGAGAAAATTATGGTGTCTGACTTTGAATGCAGGGTTGAATTATTTTCACATAATATAGTAATCGCGTGTAAATTTATCGACAACAATACAGCGGTTCGTTGCGTCCAAGTATTTATTATATGGCATTCCACGCGAAGCGGACAGGTAAAAAAGTTGATGTTTCCGATTTTAGTAATATTTGATTATGTTATACCTATATATGTCCTCAATCCAGATACAAAATATTTTTACAGTATAAAATGTAAAGCTCATTAAATTAAGCATACACTTGACTACTTCTTTCATTTCCATTTATCTTTTCAATACCGGATAATGGGATTCGAAGTGGCGCATACCTGCCGGTTAGTCACATTTTTAAAGCTCTCTAAATCGTAAACTACATTTTATACTGTACAAATATTTTGTACCTGGATTGAGGACACATTTAGGTATAACATAATCAAATATTACTAAAATCGGAAACATCAACTTTTTTTACCTGTCCGCTTCGCGTGGAATGCCCCATATAACACATTCATGAAAACAATTACTTCTTATTATCATTAGCAGAATATCTTCGGGTATTAACGTTAAAAAAGTGATATATTAATATTGTTCTACTGGTGTTTATAATTTAAGTAAAAGTAAATCTTATGATTTGTCTAGTCTTGAAGAAGAGGCCAACGACTAGGCTGCTCATCTCTTAAGCCACTACCGCTACTCAAGGACAGCAACGAAAACTGAAAATCTTTAATAAGCTCAACGAGTAATAGCCCCATTTACCTCATATGATATTCAAAAGAATAAATACTTAATATTTTTCCGTGATATACTTCCCCGTTCAAAGCACCCTGCTCAAGCCATACATAATATGCTGCGTAGCCCTACCACGGCTTCACAGAAGGTCACCGTAACGTTCACCGTAAATTATTAGTAAATATAGTACTCACAATGTATTCCAAAGACATGATTGGCTAACGATGACCCATGAAACGTCTATCAAAACTCCAGTACATTCATAAAACCCATCAACGTAAACTTTAGCTATCCAAGGAAATGTAGAATTTTTGGAAATAGTAGAAACGTCATGGACTGTGTAGAAATTTGTAAATAGTGTAGGTTCACAGAAAACATAAAGCGTCATACACGTTTTCGTTACGTTCGGCACACATTGTTCTTTTAGAACTTCTGGTTCTGCGATCAACATTTCCGAAGTTGTCTCATTATCAATACTGATATAAGTAAAATGTATTGGCGATTTAATACTCCGTTTCCTTCTTTTTTGGCTAAAGTTGGCATGTTGCATGTTTTTTTCTTTCATGTTCACATATTTTATTACATATCGATTTGCTGAACTGTAAAATATCATAAAATTAAAAGCTTACGTGAAGCGATTAAGAAAAAACTATTAGCTCCTTACTTATCAACCTACAAAAATATGAGCTGACCTACCTAAATTCAAGATAACGACAGACTTTGTTAGCCCTTTCTTCCTGTTGTTTTATCGTCAAATTATCTTCACAAAATATTTGCCAGTCGTTTTTGTATTTCCTTGATATATACCCATCCAATCTTAAATTTGGTTTTCCATCATAATCGTAAAAGATTTCCTTTCCATTTGATAAAGTAACTGAAATGATAATAAGGTAAGAAAAAAACATATTTTAACTCAAGTACAGGAAATTCTATAACACTTACAACAATCCTGCTCATCTTCGCCTTGAGGGCAATCTATTTCTCCGTCACAAATATGATTTGTCGGCAAACAAACACCACTTTTCTTGCAAAGGGATTGACCTTCCACACATATGTCTATAAAATAATTTTAATTAAAAGCATAAAACATATGCAATACAAACATACATAAATAATAAGAAAAACTCACGACAGTCAATTTCATCTTGTGCACCAACACAATCAGCATTTCCATCACACAAAAGTTTTTTGTTAAAAGTAAATAAATAATCAACACACGTACAGTCTAATTCGTCTGTGCCATCTTCACAGTCTGCTTTGTGATCACAGCGCTTATCGAATGATATATTTTGATGAATACTAAAATCATTGCAACATTAAAAAATATTGGATAGTACGGTTACTTAGGAATGCATACATAATTATGATAAAATAACATTAAAATTATTTGATGATAAAGATGACTACTGTAACAATTAAGAACATGAATGAAAATGTTAAGCAATTTACCGTCTGCACTGAAATTCTGATGGGATTTCTTGGTGTATTCCGTGTTTTGCCGGTTGCAGTAATGATATTTGTGTCTTGTTTAACGTATGCTCTTTTGTTACAAAATTGTTTTGTATTTCAGAATTACCGATAAGTTCTGAAATAGTGTTAATCGTTGTCTGTTCAATTTTAGAACTGTGCTCCAAAGGTTGTATTGTAGTTAAAGAATCTATCAACATTTTGTTGAAAAATTTGGTGGTTATATCTTCACTAAATATGTTTAAGAAATTGTTCTCTGTCGTAGTTTGCATTTCATCACCTTTTGAGCCAGTGAAATTGATATTAAGATTTTCATGGCGTTTTGGGGAATCTGATGTACTTCTAAAAGTTGTCGACTCATTACCAATATTCTCTTGTATCAAGTCTTTATTATCAGTATTGTTTTGTTTCTCTTCATTAACTTCCGTATTATGATTATCATTTGTACTGTTATATATTAATTGACGCCCATTAAATTTATTTTTTTCCTCCAATTGTGATAATACAGAGTATAAAATATTTCCTGATGTGTTTATAGATAATGTTTGCGTTTCCATAAATTCAGTAGTTGGTATAGGATCTATAGTCACATCTTCGTTTGAAATTTGTTTTGAGTTTGTCTCGTCAGATGTATCAGTGCTTGAAATTTCAAGTGTAGATGCGTGTTCAAAATCATTTTCTAGAGATAAGTTATTTTGTTCGGAAGTGTTATCTTTTTGAATTGCGGAGGTAACGCTTTCATTATTATTTGTACTTGATATCAATAAGCCATTCTTCTTTTCGTTCGATAGTGTTGTCGTAGAAAAATCAGAAAGTTGATTGTCTATATTAATTTCATTAGAATTTCGTGTATAGATAGGAGATTGGTCTATGTTGCTTAAATTTTCATTTTTTTCCTCAACTACGTCTTCGTTTACTGTTATACTCGAGAATTGTGATTTATTATTAAATGGTTTTAATTTTCTCTGGTCACAATTAATTTCATCTTCACCGCTTAGGCAATCAATTATTCCATCACATATTCGTGTTTTGGGTAAGCATTTTGAAAGTCCTGACTCGCATCTAAATCCTGGACACTCTTGTTTTGGCTGAATCGTTGGCAAAGTCCTAGAGGCTACATAAAAATTGGTTTGTTTATATTAAGATCTTTCTGACAGGAAATTCATTTCTTAAATACTTACAAACATGATATTTTGTCCATTCAACAAAATTGCTGACCCTTGTATAAACACCAGGTTCATTCTTACGAGCACAACCATCTCCATGACTGACAATACCAGCTACATACCATTGTTGTGAATTTAAAGGATTTTTACATAAAAGTGGCCCTCCACTATCTCCCTGAAGTGAAATATCATTTTTTTATTAATAATAAGAAAAATTACAAATGTTGGCCTTTATCGTGACTATTAACTCAGTGTTCAAAATTTTTATGCATATTATTCACTCTTCTTATAATATAAGAGTACGTATAGAATTTAACGTTACTTGGCATGCATCTTTTCCTCCTTCTTCAAGCCCAGCACAAATCTCTCTACCAGATTCATCTTCTTGATGCTTACAATGACTCCAAATTGGCACTTCAACTTCGCGTAGGTGATCAGCTGTCGATAACCATTTCATTAAATATTGTCATATGTAATTTACAAGCGAATCAGAAAAATTTAATTTACATTAACTATAGATGTTTTTATAATTTTCATTATCAAAATATAGATTTCATGTATATTTTGATAATGAAAATTTTAAAAAGAAAACATAAAAAGCTTACGATCTGGTCCACGTTCGAAAGTAGCTCCCCAACCAACAGCCGTGCAAGTAGTACCTGGATCAGGTCCAGCTCGCCAATTAGGACCAGCTGTCTCTGGTCCTGGTAAACAAATCGGTCTAACCCATCGGCTGAATTGAATTCCAGGCTTAACCCGTAACAATGATAGGTCATTTTTCATATCTTCTTGATTGTAATTTTGATTAACAATAATATGAACGACGCGATGGTTTTGCTCCTGAGGGGAGAAGGAAAAGCGTCGAAGCATGCCAACCTGTATCTCATAATAATGCTGCCAAAATCTGCAAGAACATTTTTTCCATACAACATATTTAAGGAAAATTCATACTAATTTGCTTTTCAAAAACATTAATAACATTTTTTCTACTTTAAGGATATTTACTTTTCTGTGGTAGGGCCACGTATGCATGAATGGGCCGGTCCGTCCAGGTAAGTACCACAACCTCACAGTAGACCAGCATGAAGTGAAAGTGTTATATTAATATTATATATAATATTTTCTTTGCTTCGTTTGGTAACTGAGGTAGCCGGGGCCCACTTTATTAAAAGGTAGCAACGCATTTGCAACTCTACGGGTGTTGCAAGTGTCATCATTTAACATCAGGCGAAACCCCACCTCGCTTGCCTTGTCCGAAAGTTCGCATATAAAACAAAGTCCTCCTTAGGATAGAAGAGAGGATATTTACTGGTTTTCTCTATATTTTATATAATAAATTAATAAAAAGAAACTAACCACACTATATTATTATATTGTTGTAATAACAATATGTGTCTGTGCAACTTGTAAACAGAAATAAGTTTAGGGTAGACCTTTTGGGAAATCTAGTTGCAATTACGTGCCGCGAATTCGAATTATTGTGGCAACTACAAATGAGTTCTTACTCTTTGTATTTCTTAAGCTGTGTTCAATATAAACTTTAAGATAATTGTCTACCTTATTAAAAACTATAGGTTTGTAATATATTACTATCATAACTTACTTGTTAACACAATGCGCTGCCGACATCACCCAGTATTGATTTAATATGACTCCTCCACAATGAAACATTCCATCTCTGTATAAGGCAGCCACCCAAGGCCATGCTGCTGGTTGGCTTAGCCTTCCACCTACAACTCGGCCTTCAGTTCTCCTATTTCTCTTAATATTAGTTCGAGTATATATGGTATTCCTTTTATAGCGATTACCATATAGCATCAAAGAATACGGTGATTTTAGTAGGAATCTTTTATTACGGCCGTAAAGATCCATTACTGCATTCTAAACAATTTTAAGAAAATAAAAACAAAAACGCCAATTCTGTTAAAAAGGTGTAAATTGCAAACTAAAGTACATTTTTACAAACTTTACACACATACAAAACTTAAGTAAAGAAATAACCTGTCTTAATAGTTGAGATTCTGTTGGCATTCTCGTTCCACACAATAAGTTAGGGCAGGTAACGTATACAGCTGATGAATTAAAACATGTTGTACTTGTATACATAAACCCTCCAGGACCAGTGTTCAAATAATTTACATTTACCAATGGATCTATTTCGACCAATCGAATTAAAGGCGCCCTGCATAAAAAAAGTATATGTGAATAAGTATCACGTACGTAAGAAGTTATACTTCATTATCGTAACAAAAGAAAAAACCTAAAAAATGTATCCCCTGTATCAGTATTCTTTGTTTATAAAAAAGACAATAAAGTTTATCTGAATTACTTGGAATTATAGGTTAATGTCAAAAATTTGTTATTGGATGCCTTGGTAATGCTGTGTCAATTTTATTGGTTGGTGTGCGAGCACATCCTAAAAATTTCATTCTCATATTATTTGCAAACGCGCCAAAGGAAGTATAACTGCAAATGTACTTTTATTGACTTTTGACTACATACATGATGTTTCAGAGGTTTCTTTACATCACTTACCTAATTATTAAACCAGTTTCGCGTTGACATGCATCATGTGCCCACATGTAAGGATTTTTGCAAACCGGATACCATGTTCCTTTAAAATTTCTATGCAAATATCCCTCCGTGTTGGAAACAGCAAACAACTAAACAAAACATCTTAGTATGAGTAATATGAATAAGATTTTCAAATTAATCTCGTTTTAGATAACTCTTACCGGTTTCTTGTGTAAACTTGTTGCAAGTAAGCTGCAATCGATTTCATCTTTATGATTTGGACAATCAACAATGTTATTACATCGTTGAGTTTCATAAAAACACATATTTTTTGAGCTTTCGTCAACAACTCGACAACTGAACATATTTTCTTGGCAACCTAGTACAGAAAATAGGAAATTTAAAGTCTACTTTTTTAATTTATTCCTTATAGATATAGCGTAAAGGAGGTGTAAATGTACAGTTTTACATTGTTTGTACTATTACAATATGTATTGTATTAGTCACAAATAATGTAAAACTGATGTAATGCAAAAGGAAAAACGTTTTTAAGTGATATATCGATACAGATATCGATATCGATGTAATTGACAACCTTAGATCAGAACCTAAGATTGACAGTTACAATTTTTGAACTTGGTACCATTTGAGTAAAAACTTCCGGATCTAATCTAAAAGGAGACATAAGGTTTAACTTAAATACGTTACTAGGGTGAATTGAATGCCTAGAGATGAAATGCATAGTTGTATTTAAAAGTACAAAATGCATACCATCACACCCCATTTCATCTTCACCAGAGGGACAATCGAAGTAACCGTCACAAATTCTCGATTGATCTACTCTAGATTTACAACTACACCGTTCTTCATCACTTATGTCAGAACAATCAATATTTCCGTCACACCATTTTTTTTCAGGAACACAAGCTTCTCCATTTAAGCAAGATCTGGTACCTGCTTCACAGTTAGTATTACTAAAATTTGAATTTGAGGAAACTTCTGCAGATGTCTGATCTGATCTGTAATTAGAATAATAAATTGACAAAAAACGTAAATATTCATTAAGCATATTTTTTTTTCATTTAAACCTAAAAAATACTTACTTAGATAAAAAATGTAGTGCAATTTCTACATCTTGCGGGTGAATTGAATGCCTCTGGTCTTCATCGTCAAATTTATGTAATGACGGATTAATGAAAGGAGATACATATCTGAAATATTGGATGATACAAAAATTGTAAGTAAAATATGTGTAGCATTATTCAATAGTATATTATAGCATACAAACCTATACTGATGATGCGGTGAGTAATCTGTGTTCGCATTGTCATAAACACCTATATGAAAAAAAAGAAGAGCTTAGTTTCAAAATGTTGCACTGGTGACATTGTTATACTTTTACATGTGCATACCTTGCAAATGCGGATAGCTCTGCTTTAAAAGGCGAGCCAATAGACAGGTGTCTGATAATTGTGCATTAGAATGTTCGTGCCCAAATAACGTTTCATCAGATTCCAATATTTCACGTTTATTGACATCTGTGGATGTTTTTTCTTTCCTTAAATGATTGTTATTTCCTTTCGTCTTAGATATATCTCCGTTCTTTATAACGTTCGCCTCCGTCCGGCTGGTTAAATGTTTTAGTTTTGAAACTAAGTCTTTGCATATTTCTACATGGTTTCTGTCATTGCATAACATATTGTGTTCTTTAATAATTTTACGAGCTTCTCTTATATGTGATTCGTCAAATATTACGCCTTTATTAATAGTTTGTTGTTGGATCGTCTGTCTTTTTTTCCGTCTTACAGGATAATTTGCTGTTTTATTACGAACATTTAAATGAATTTCCACATCATCACCAACTAATCTTATATTTGAATTTTGATTATCAGAATAAAAAATGAATTCAGACGTTCTCAAATTACCTAAAATTATATTCGTTATTATAATGAACATTTACATCATGTTTAAGCCTCAAGATAAAAGTTTCAAAAAATCTTACCACAGTCTAATCCTTTAAGTATCAAAATGTATATACCACCGGCCATAACTGCCAAAACAATTATTGCAACTAGTTTTTGTAAAACTGGATAAAAACATCTGTGGTAAATCTTTCGTTCTGTAAAATAAAATTCGCCAATATGATCTGCTAAAAGTATATTACTCTCCTGTTTCAAATTAATAATCCCTTTTTTTGTAAAAATTACGTTTTTTTATGTGAAAAGTTACCAAGCGAACAGACGGTTCACCTCATGTTAAGTGAATACCGCCGCCCATAGACATCTGCTACACTCGAGCGTTGCAGATGCCTTGACAACTTTTTGAAAATTGGGCTCCGGCCACCCCCATTCACCAGACGAAACGCGAAGGTATTATACTACTACCACTGTACGCCGGTCTTCTGTGAGGTCGTGGTACTTACCCAGACGAGCCTGCTCATTCATGCAACAGCCGAGGCTGTTGCGTGGCCCTACCACCGTATAAATTCGTCTTGTGATGAATGAGTGTATTCGGTATAAAAATAAATTCAGTATATCTATAGATCGATCAAATTTAATATAACGTAGGATCTCAAGTGAGGCGTATTTATCGTAACAGGTAATTATAACAGGTATCTTGAGATAACAGACTGTACCTGTTACACTTATGTAACAGTTCCTGTTCTACACAAACTCCTTAATGCGTTGTCACAAGCTTTTCTGTATTCATGCTTACGACTGTTACCTTAGTTAGAAAGTGATATAAACTGTAACACCCATTCACAGTTGTTACTGAACAATAATCGTTCCTTGACGCGCTGTCACAAGTTAGAAAGAGATAAAAACTGTTTGTTATTTTGAAACAGATATTTGTCCCTGTGACTTAATAGTAACAAGGACAGGATAACAAGTATTCGATTATACCTAGTTATTCCTATAGAATTGCATTTTTAATGATTACCATTTTCATGAGACTCCGCTAGATCCATTGGCAGCAGTCCCACTTGACTGTTGATACATCTGAGTTTCCCGCTCTCAACCATTGTTAAAATATATTTTACTAATTAGTCTCCTAAAAATGTGAAACAAGTTTTATAGATTTTTTAAGTATTTCATATGGCTATTAAACTAATCTTTTACAGAATTGAATGTAATGAGATCATGCAAAAAAGAGCTTTTGATTTAAAATTTGCCGCTTTTATATCATTTCTTAACAAAAAGAATTTTTTAAAATCAATGAAAAGATTAAGGTTAATCTAAAATGATATTCAGTGAGTGTGTTA